GTGGAGATATTCAAAATTTTCTCTATTTAGTTTGTAGACATCCTATTACAAATACATACTTTACTAGTTTGTTCTATTATATTTGCTTTTGATACTGCATCACCAAAAAGACAATAACGAGGCATTTTAATTCCAGCTATACCAGCAACAACTTGTCCACTATGACAACTTATAAAAGAATAGAAATTCTATTTTGTTTTTTTTTGTGTATATATTAAACAACTAACCAATACGTATTTTAAGTTTTGCATTATTTATTGGATTTGATACAGTAATAATTGCATCAAGCATATCGAATGCCATATCAATAATTTCTGTAGCATGATTTTGAGCACCTGAAAGAGAATAAAAGAAAGTATTAATAATTATTTTATGAAGAAGAAATAACTTACGTTCAGGTAAACCACTTACTAACATATAAGCATCACCAATTGTTTCAACTTTATAACAATTATGATTTTCCAAACATTTATCAAATTTAGTATACATTTCATTAAGAATAGAAACAACTTCCATTGGTGTAAGTGATGCACATATTGATGTAAAATCAACAACATCACTAAATAATATTGTACAACTTTCAAATGTCTATAAAATAAAATAAAATAAAAAAAGAAATAAGGATTTGTTATAATAGAATGAATAACTAACAAATAATGAATAGAATTCTTACTATTGATTATTCTGAAGAACTATTCAATAACATCCTATAGAGATCGCTTATATATATATGTGTTAATGTTCAACAGAATAGATAGAGAGAAAAATATTATATATTGTTGATAATTTAATATGAATCAAATAGAATCACTTTTATTAGAATAAAATTTGAAATAGAAAATCTTTCTTCTTTCGAAATCAAATCTCCGATCGATTACATGATATTGAGCTGAAGCTTTGTAGATATATTCAAGTACTTAAAAATGTCAGTTCCGTTTCTTGTGATCTGTTCGAGCAATAACAAATTTACTGTACAGGCTGTCCCAGAAATAACCTACCAAAAGTTTTTACGTTTCATTTTACTAA